CTTAGAAAAATATTCTGCTATGGAATATGAAACTAAAACTCTATGTTGTCATTCGAAAAAGTAAAAAACTTTAAAAATGATAAGGATAAAAAATATTTAAAAATATAATTTTTTAATAAAAACGTTGGTTTTTTTAACAACTTGAGATCATGTAAAAAAATATTTTGAAAATAGTAAATCCTTTTTGAGATAATTAGTGTACCCACTTAAAAGAATCACCCTGTATACCTACATATTTATTTTCAACAATATTATTTATTATTTATCTTACACATACTGAAGATTATAGCAATTTAGAGAAAAAAAAATACATGAATTTCATGAATAAGATCATTAAAAAGAATAAATATACAAGAGTAAACTAGTAAACATAGTATTAAAGTTCAATATTATAAGCGGTCCATTATATATTACACCTATAGTGGACCATTGAATTATACACTACAAAGATAAACTGTTAATTGATAGATGTCTCCCTAAAATGAACATTTTAAACACATTAGGCCAATCGTTTTATGTCATATGATTTTATAAAAAGAATATATTTAACTATTTTTTATATAATATTATCTTATGCTGAAGATTTAAACTAAATTTAAATATTGCATGTAGTATAAAATTAATTATTCAATAAATAAAAAATGTCTCATTAGAACTCACTTAAGCMCGATAAGCTTCAAATGTTGACCTATGAGCCGAACAATCTCTTGGCTTGACCTGCCCTTGATGTTACAGCTATTACTTTGTTCTTGATCATCACCGTTTCCAGTGGCCGTACCATTAATGGTCGAACTGGAGGATGGCTGATCCACCGATCCATTATGTTGCAAACACCCATTGCTCGGCTGCAACATGGTATCTTCCGTATCCAAGTGCCTTTTCTTACGCGGTGGTGGAACAAGCCCACCGTCATCAGAATCGCCACTCGAGGCCAGTCTTGCTACGCGACGGCAAGATTTAAATGCTTTTCCCTCCTCTATAAAAATCTATTATTGGACTACGACACATCAAATCTAAAATAACGAATGCATCAATAAACATAATATTATATTATATTGTATTCCTGATTCTTTTTTTATTTATTTCATTTTTACCCTCAACAGCTGTGCGAGATAAACATTAAACATACGCACACTAAACACGCATACGCGCGCGCACAAATGTACACGCTACTACGCTAGTACGCTTCAAACATACCCACCTTTGTTGTTTTGGATTTCTTCGTCCTTGAAAAATCGTTGTATCACTATACACTAGGATAACTAAAGTCTAATGGACGAATAAAACTCAAAACCCTAAAATTTTGATGAAAATACTCTCAAACTATTAATTAATATAGTTGGAACTTGGAATTTGCTTGGAAAATATTATTAAATGATAATTTCCTTTTTTTTATTTTTTTTTTACACAACAAATTTTATACCAGATGACGAACAATAACAAGTCGTCGTCTCGTCGAGGAGAAAATAATACTTTATCATGATATTTATTATTTTTTTATCCACTGATGAACGATTTACTTAACCTCAAAATAATTTCACTGACTTCAGATTTGAATTTTCCTATCGTCACATTGTTATTGATAACGTAAATAACCAACACACCCATCGGCCATCACCCATTGGTTTATGGATAATGACGTCACAATATTATAACTCTATGATAAAACCATTACACCCTCCACCCACGAAGGTACGAACCACGATTTAAGATATATCTTATCTTATTCGTGGTACGAACCCATAAAAAAATTCTTTAATCTGTGGACTGTCCGACTGTGGTCACCACAGCTGCTGCATTCTGTGTAAACAAGCATCTTATCAATTATTGTAGCCCCGAATGTATTTTCAACATGATTGACGTGCTGGGGGGAAGGGAACGCTAAGGTCGTTAAGAGTTTACAACGCCATCTGTATAAAACACGGACGTCTGACATGGACACAAAATGTGACACCAAATAAACCACCTTTAGCGCTAAAAATATTCAATGAACGATGTATATGATAACAGAGGAACCTTTTGCGGACCGTCCTCGCTCCCCCGTCACCAACTACCAACACATCATAATATCATTACCAGTTCATTAAATCTTAAGTWCGTGGTATAGACGTATAGTAATATAAAACAACACGTCTCGTTTGTCGTTTGTGATTATTTTACATTATTATCATATTTTATCAAATGTAATTTAATATCAATACAATTTAGGTATCCATTACACCAATACAATGTTCTATGATACAATTTATTTTAGCCGATTATAAAATGTAAATTAAATTATTCGTATTGAGTACCTATTAGACATTTCAACATTTGKGTATTTCTGCAATTGTGTTTATTTAATGTGTGTCGTATGAAAAACAAATCATATTAATAATTCATAATATCATCAAATCGTTATTAATTATATAAAATTGCAATTCAATCATATCTCTTTTGATAATCTTATTTTACTTAAACAATGTGTAATAATACCAAAGAAGAAGATATTGTTGAAAAATGGGGCTTGCCATTGAAAGAACTATATACATTGGCCCTTAAGTTTTTTAAGGGTAGGTAAAGTCTTATGTAAAAAGAATTATTTATTTTAATTCTTTTAGTATTATTATAAACTATTTATACCTAAATGTTGAGTACTTCTCTATTTTCTAAAATATAAATATTATGTTATATTGTAAATTATATGGAACATTGGAAATATATTTAGAATCTTATGTTCCTGCTACTCATTAGATTGCTTTGTATTTGTTCAAATATTTTATTTTTTATTAGATTGGCCAGGTAATCATTCTAATCAATTGTCAATATTTATCTTTTTCATCCCAATATATTGCTGCCCAAGAGAATAAGTTATTATATTTTACCTAAACATTTCTAAAATTAAATATATTTTTAACTTTTATCACGTTGACTGCCATGCGRCCGCCGACGTCCGTATAATAATAATTAGGTATTGATAATTTTTAGACCGCCGRCTGCCGCACCATATCATTCGTAGGAGGCCATACGGCCGCGGGCTGCCGTAAATAAATTTGGATTTATATTATTAACTTTTCCATGGGGCTACAATAATGATCTTGAAAATATGCTGTGGCGTAGTGGGAATAATTGCAATTTTTTTGGTGTAATAAACACAGTTTTAACATTTTTTTTTGT